GTAGCTAACTAGCTCTCTGTGTTACAGATGACGAGTTTTAGGAGAACTGAATCTTTTGTACAATAGCCCTGCTGATCCTTAAAAACTGCTGCATTTCCTTAAGTAATATGTGAAATTCATTTTGTTTACACACACACACACGGTGACACATACAGGGGTGCTAGTTCAGCCAGTTTCAGTCCCTTGACGTATTCTTGAAAACACAAACCACATGCTGCCTCTTAGTCACCCAAATGTTATTTCTCCAAGATTGTTTTCTGAGGAGCTCAGTCAGACTGTCTGCTTTCTTTCTGTTCTTTCTTTGTGTATGATTCACACACACACATTTTAGTTTCATCTTATCAGGATCACGTATTGACATCCGTTCATTTCTGTAGCCCAGCCCTGACCCTTACGCTACACCTAACTTCAAACACAAAAATGGCACTCAGTCATATTTGGACCAGACTTTGGTTCCTAATAGGAGTACTGGTCCTGACAAGGTAGGTGTGTCTACCAAAAAAAAATAAAATCCTAAAGAGGTATCAAAGACTACCTGCTAACACACCACTCACAAATATGAAATATTGGGATTGTATGATTGGCATGGTGCTGGTCATGGAGACACAGGAGTGTGTTTGTGAGGTCAGTATCTGTGAACTGTACTTCTAACTGGTTTTAAAGTATTTATTACCTACTGCTGAAGGTGAACGGGTGATAACCCTTTTCCCAAGGTGTGAGTGAACATATTATTTTGTCTATACAGTTAGCAATTTATGTCATGAACTACTAGAATAATGAAATAATGAGAATAATGACAATGAGATTCTCAAGGGGCTCAGGTGGTAGAGCTGTTGCCTCTCAGTGAGAAGGTCGCTGGTTCAAATCCTGGCCCGGGACCTTTCTGATTGGATCTTGTATGTTCTCTCCATATATGCGTGGGTTTTCTCCAGGTACTCCGGTTTCCTCCCACAGATCAAAAACATGCATGTTAGACTGACTGGTAACTCTAAATTGTCCCTAGGTGTGAGTGAGAGAGTGAATGGTTGTTTGTCTCGTTTGTCTCTATGTGTCCCTGTGATGGACTGGAGACCCGTCCAGGGTGTATCCCACCCCTCGAACAGTGATTGCTGGACATGGGCACCAGTGACCTCTGTGACCCAAAAGAAAGAAGCGGGTAAAAAGATAATGGATGGATGTTACATTCTTATTTTATCAAATCTGTTCTTATGTTGTTGTTTTTTATCTGTTGGAACAGGCCCATCCATC